TGGTGAGAACAGGAAACCTAGCTCCTCTATCGCGAAACATATTATAGAGACAGGACATAGAATTGATGTTTACACATCTTTCAAACCTATCTGTAGAACGTGTTTTGGGCGTATCCTAAAGTCTGTCGAAGCCCCAGCTAGCGATTAGGATGTTTAAACCACCTCTATGCATTCAAAGCAACAATTCGTCATCACACTAAACCACCTTCCTTGATAAACTTTGTTTTGATACCAGCCAGGGTGGATGTACTATTACCTCTGTTATTTGGTGTAATGATATTCATTTTTATTTTGACCTTCAATTTGTCCTTTTAACTTGACCTAAATTTATCTTCTCGCCTGTTAACTCTTTATTGATTTCATCATATATTCCTATGACAAGTCCGTGGGTGATCAGATTGTTCTAAATGTGTTGCGCAAACACAATACACGATTCAAACAAATTACGTCTTGTTATTGTTTTGTTTATTAATTAGTTGTTCTGATGACTTTTAACCTCTTACTTTCAATCCCCCGCCCCTATACTTAAAAATTATAAACTAAAATAACCACTTGATTGGTAAGACATCTTGATGTAAAAACCACATATTAGTGTAAAGTCGACTTATTGAAAAGGAACATACACATTTATGAATTGTATTCATTTTGAAGTTTATGTGAATAAATCTAAGCAGTTGTTGGCAGTCTAAACAATCTTTAAACTACTCTGAAAAGCGTACATGTGGAACAGACCTTAGAAATATACTATATAAGGCTATCTACTGGAGACCATTTAACTATGTTGAGTTCACCGCGTGCTTACAATTGATGATTTAAGAGAGAATAACTTACAAGCAAACAGATATGAAAACGCAACAGGTTTTTTGTTTTTATATCTGCTTTGCGTCAAGCACAGGAGTATACAGTTTAGATGTACACGCCCTGTAAATACTGTGAAATGTTTCACTAATACAGAGTGTCTTTATGCTATCTGCATGTTAATTCATGATAGATTAGCACAGTCACTGTTAAAATTATTGAAAGATAAGTTACTAGAATTTTCAATTACACTTCTCTTATAGAACCTTCAGAAGTCTGAAGTACTCTTTAGTTTCTAACTATCTTTACAGTGCATTTATTTATCAAATCTTTATCTAGACATTCTGAATCCACCGATCACGGCTACTGTTGGTTAGTCGAAGGTTTAATGTTCAGCTTAAATATATAATAATTATTGTTCCGACAGTGCGTCGGTGGCACAGAGCTAGAATACTCGACAACATCTCAGGTGGCTCAGGGTTCGATCCCCGGCCACAAACTCACTCCTTTACCTCGCTAAGCCAGTAATAAAACTGGTAAAGAGGGAAGGCTGGGCATGAGGCCAGCAGCCTCATCCTGTAAAAATAAATACCACTGCTACTGAAACTTCCAAGCTCTAGCTTGAAGCCCTATGTTCCACTGGAGATGTAAAGAAATTAAGAGAAACATTCTTCCCACAACGTTGTATGCCTCAACACCAGAACAGGAGAAAATGGCCACATACGGATTCCCAACAGTTTTATCCTTTTGAGTAGTCTACATTGTCACATGCAGTCACTCGAAGGCTTCCCATTTTCTTCAACTGTATGTGCCTTGACAAACATAGGTCGCCGGAGTGAGGAATGTTTGCACCCTTATGTTTGCTGTAGAAAGCAGTACACTGAATATAAAGGAGATTTTTCTGCTTCTTTCCTTACTGTAGCTGGTGTCTTATAAGATGCTGTTCTTTTTACTTTGCTTTTCTCTTTCTTCTTGAATGACTTGTCTCCTTCTCATGAAGCCAGTTTTGTTGAGTACGCTAATAATTTGAATGTCTGTAAGTTAGACTGTTTCCAGATGAATCGATTTTCATCAGAAATTAGTCATTGGTACTTGTCGAATTTCCTTCAGCTAATTACCTCCAAATGTCAAATTGTTAATTTCACTTTCAGACGCAAACGTGATTTCCCTGAAATTATTCGAATATTAAATACCTTGAATTATATCTCTCGCCCAGTCGTCTAATTCTTGGCCTTCCAATATAATGCCAATTTCTAGGTAGACATTTCGTCTAACTAACCTTCCACGTAAGGAAGTCAAGACAATCAGATATCACTTAGTCTCTACTTTAACGATTCGTTAATTCATATATCGTACCGATTCTTCTTTATCACTCTGCCTTAATTTTACCTAAGTTACTTAAGGAAGATCTTGTTACATTGAGAAGCATACTGAAAGCTGTTAGTAGGGTTGATGCAGTGTCCCTGAACCAACTTGTTAGTACCGTTGCAGATAGACACTTCACATCATGCAACAAATCAGCAAATAATACTTTGTCGAACCTTGAACATCCTCTCTATATACAACTCTTAGCTTGCATCTCATCAGTCAGGATAAGAGACAGTTATAAAACACTTTATTCTCGGAGGACCAAGTAGAAAACTCTACAATACCTTATTTGGTGGGCATACATTTTATGTGGTGAGAAAAGTGTGTAAGGCATGACAGTACTTATTTCCTAAGAAATACTAAGTAAACGGCCCTTTTTACCGTTTCTTTCATTAATAAGAGGCCTAATTTTTTTATCCAGAAGAGGTTAGTTCAGACATTGTCCTTATCTTGGCCATATGGGTTCGAATGATCCTCAATTTTTTGTAGAGATTACCTTAATTTTAGTTGATATTCTATTTGTCATTATATTTATATTATTATTATTATTATAACTTATGTGTCTTTCTTGAACTGTGGCAATCCCGTCAATCCTACTTTACAAACCGATATTATTTAAAGAACGCTAATATTGTTATTGACTACTAATCTAGAATATTCTTCGTATATAAACATATATATATACTTGTAGAGCCAGAATAGGAAATTATCGAAAAGGATATTCTTTGCTCAATTATTTTGTGTTTTATAAATGTCTGAATGAATATTTTCGCTATATTGAAAACAATAACAGTTCTGTCAGGCTAAAAACCTGATGCACCCGCATTATCCCTCTGACATTGTGAGAGAAACAAGACACTGGCGCTATGCATACAAAACTGTGGTGTTACACTTTATAGCTTCTCCTTACAATTATCGATAATCACTCGCGCATTCAAGAAATATACTCATCAGTACACGGCATTATTATTTATTCGGGAGGTGTGGATTCTGTTTCCGCATAAAATTTAAGCTATGATACGATTGACAGACGAACGAGCGAATTAGCCCTACAGATATGGGATATTGTTCTGTCAAGTGCGATCATCACACCATCCACTACTTTGCAAAAAAGACACTGATATGACTTAAATAATATTTATTTTCAGAAAATAAACATTATCTGTTTGCAAGGTACAGTGTAACACTGCATGTTATAATACAAAGGCGGTTGTTAGCGAGGAAATGAAATGGTGGTCAGAGTGAAAATTTATTTCGCATAGTGTTAAAATTATTAATGTTATTATTAAGAAAAAATTGAAGGCAATTATTGTTTGTTATTCCTGTCATGTTAGGTATTGTAATGCAGTCATCGGTGACAGTTGTAAAGAACCACCAAATTTTATTGAAGTATGGCATCAATAGTTTTGATGAATTCATCCAGTGAAACCTTTCCATCTTGGTTTAAATCCATTAATTTCATTAATTCCTGTAAAAGGAATAAAATAGATGACAGTTGAGTGGCTGTAAAATGAGCATTTGTTATATACATATATATGGATATATATATATACATATTCAGGTTCTGTATATGATCTCAGTGATGTCGGCGTAGGATTGCCCAAGGTATAAAATGCACTTCCATTATGTGCTGATGGGAGATTGGACACACAATTTATTTATAATACGAAACTAAAATGGTCTCACATTTTAATGAAAGAAATAACTGAAGTTAACTGTTGAAGATTTGTTACGTTAAGGAGAGTTCTAAATGCTTACGATTCATAATACACGAACTGATAGCTTGCATCTCAAAGCCTGGAAGGCTGTGGAATTCCTTCTGAAAACGGATACAGAGACCTCAGCGGACATGCTGACGCTACTATTGAAAAAAGTTTGCGAATAAAGAAAGATGCCTACTAATTTTTAAAGAAAGGCTACTGTGTCAAACTACCAAAGAAGAGTGCTTTGGGTCACTGCAAAAACAGTAAGATTATTTTGAAAAACTAACTCAAAATGTAATCCCCAACTTAAGTCATATCTTCAGTTACCTTCATCTGCAGTATATACATACTTGGTATCAAATATGAGGTTCATGAATATACAAGGTGAATGAAATTTAATACAAAGAACACTGTATGATGTTTGATATATACAGTGAATAGTCAATTTGAGTCTACAAAAACCGAGGTGAGCGTCTCAGGGTTGTAGTCAATTTAGTAAGAATTCCACGATAAAATAATCTGATTAGTCATACATAATATTCGGTTGGAAGAACTCCAAAATATCTTCATATTCATTAGTTGTAATACAAACATGTCGCTCCTTCGTTTTCAACCTTAATGTGTAGACATAAGCAGTGTGTTTGTTACTGTTTATTGTCAGGCATCTGATGTAACATGGAAGGAAAACCCAAGAAGTTTGGTCATGAACTGATATTTTACTTTGCCCACAGTTCCAAAAACAATCTGTTGTACTCGACTCTTCACTAGGATGGATTTAGAATTGTGTGTTTGAATATCTTTATGGAGTCTAAGCACCTCAAATCCAGACATGTTCAGACGGAAGATGAGATAAGAAGTAAGTGACGCGATCAACGTATAGACTTAGATTCCAGTGAGACAGTCTTAGTGAGGAAATCATTTACTACGCTGTAAGCCTTACTCATAGAGTTATCAAGAAATATAAAGAGTTACAAATAGATTTTCTTAGCATTATTATATGAAAGGTGCTTGATACTTTCTTAACTACCTATCATCCAGGTGGATAGGCAAATTATATAAACAATTGAGATAAAATAAGCTTTACCACTCTATACATAATAAGAACTGTTGTAAAAGTTTGTCTGAACATACCTTTAAAAATTCCTCATAATCGGGGGATAATCCGAAACCTTCTTTGAGTTCTTTAAAGGTCACGTATCCATCTTTATTTTTATCCAGCTCTTTGAACATTTGAACCAATTCCTCTTTGTCGTGTTTATCCATTAGTGTTACTCACAAGGAATTAATAATTTGTCAGGAAAATGTATCAACAATTGCACGAATTCTATCTAACAAAATATAAAATCATCTTATAGTATACTTTGAAAGTGTTAGTGCATGTTGTGCCACCTCTGAGATCAGAGAGTGCACAACATTATGAGAATAAAACAAATATAGATTAATCGAGGAGCTACCAATCATCAGGTGTCCTTTATTCTGCTGATGTAGACTCGATGTGAGACTTATCAGTCTGGGCATAAACACAGGCTAATTTCAAAGACAGTTTAACATACTACTGGATATCGGGTTCACTAATTTCAATTAATTGGTCAGATTACCTACTAAAGATCTATATGACGTTAACTATGAAACTGAAATGAAAAAGTATGAGTAAATACATTCAGTAAAAGCAAACATCACTGAACTATTCTTTACCAAGTGTCTTTCAAGAATCCTCCTGAATTTTACTATTCGAAATAGGAATTCAAATAGACGCTTATTGTTAAAATAATCTATTTAGCTAAACATTGTGTCAGTGTGCTATGCAACTAAGTGTTACGGATACTTTCAAAATTGTACAGCATATATTGAAAATCACATAGAACTTACTCTCTACTGCAGATGGATGTATGCAATATGGAAGAAAGTACACAATCCTTCTAGTTTTATAGTAGACTTCAGAGGCCTATAAACAAATAAACCATATATAGTAGTAGTGTCATTTGTCATTGGCTTTTCTAAGTATATATTTTCAAGTGACAAGTAACAAAAACAAAACGACCACTCTACATGTGTATTCTGTTTTTAGAAATGTGATGTCAAACCTTATTTCAGGCGTTTACCAAATATAGTGTGAAAAGTATCTCTCAATCTTCATTGGAAAGTTTCATAGATGAAAAGCACTGTTTTTGCATTCTTATTACTAATATTTATTAAATCTATCTACGTGACTACAAAACACTGGAAATCACCTTAGCAGTTGAGTGATCGTTTGAAAGAAATACCCTCTGAAGATATTTTTAGCTTGTGTGTGTGCGTGTGTGTGAATAACTTGATTTAATGCACACTTTGAAGAGTGGAAGTGTGTAATTTTGGTTGACGGCGAGTGACAGTGGGATTCGTGATGCGCGTTTCATCCTAATCGGGACTAGTCAACTGGATCCACCTGGATTACCGAGTGAGTGATGGTGCTCCGGATGAGATTTGAACCCACAACTCGTCATTGTGAAAGCCGAAAAGTCACTCACTACATTGATTAGGCAAAGAGAGTCGTCTCTTTTCTGAGGCAGGTATGATTTATTATTTATTTCAATTCAATATTTTGATTTCATGAAAAATTCCCATTCGAACATTAATAGACAGAAGACAAGTAGTTCAGCGAAGAGTCTCTTTTCGACGACGAATTCAGTTTCATAGCTGTACAATCGCAAATACGTACATGGTTGTTTTGTATGTGTGTGTACATTAAATTTGTCAAACGAAAATACAATTAGTAAGTTCAGATGAACTGGACGTTGATATAAGAGGGTAGTAACAAAAGTGATGAGTTGTCACAAACGGTTGTTAAGGAAGAGTTGCGTAATAACATGAATAGTTTAATGAAAGAGTTGTACTCAGGATGTACATGGAAACAAAATATACGGAATTACACAAGGGTTTTGAGTAGAAAAATAAGCATACAAAGAAAAGTTAAGTTAAATCAACACAGTTGTTACCATGGGAGTAGAAGTGGTTGAATAATTTCCTTTTGTATGCACAGTTCTGCTTCCTCTAGCTTAATGGCCAGGTCTTCTGCGATGCAAAGAAGACGGAAACGTATTGCTTTAGGCAGGTTGTTCTTCACTTTGTAGATTACTTTGAAGCAGGAGGCGTTTGTTGAGATAGAATAATCAGTGGTGACGAGATGTTCGATTATTGCACTCCTTATACGGCCACTATTTCTTTTCTGCAGCCACGCTGGATAGTATTCTTTGACCCTTTTTGACACGATGCACGTCGAACGACCGATGTACCTGGCTCAACAGCAACAGGTTAACTGATATATGCACATAGAAGAAGGGGTCAGGTGCAGGATTTTGTCTTTTGGGCTTCTGTAGATCAGCAATTTTGATTTCACCATTGATTGACTGGACGAGAAATGCGTATCCTTCATCCAACTGCTAGTCACCATGCACTAAATTACTTCAGTTTAATCCTTAGACATCTTCGAAGTGTTCCACAAAAGAGGTCTAACATTTCGGTACAATCAGTCGACAGAAAATTCAAAATTTGATAATAAAATAAAGTGAATGGTGTAGATGTTATTTTCAGTTGTCAGTTCATGGGCTAATGGTCCATGTTATGCCTTGGAGGAGGAGTCTAATCGCTTTAGAAAAACAAGTCACCATTTTCTCAGTTAGTTTGACAGCTGCCATAATAAGTGGAATATCCACAATCATTCTACTGGGCTACTTGTATACTTGACTGTGGAACAAGAGGTGAGGGTGACTTGTCAACAGAAAATGATAGTCTGCTGATTGGTCATCTGTATAAACACAGATATTATTAAGAATTAGTACCAGAATGCGTTTTCTGAGTGCTGAGATTCATCAGCTTTCCTCGGAATTCAACACATTGAAAGGTGAATTTCAAACCTGTATATGATTATTATTACTTTAGGTTAGAAATGGAAAATACGGCTGCAACAACATATCTGGATTTCATCGTGTTTTTCTGCAGTCCATTTTAGCTGGATCTGTGGTTCCCCATGAATTCTCATCTTGACCAAACACAATCTACCTCATGTCACACTCGGACCTACCCCCAACTTATCGTTTCCCATTAAGGATGCGCTCGAACGATGGACTGGGGTGTGGTGTTACACTACGGTTTCCTCAGCGTCTATCCAACCCATTTTCTACGTATTTGTTAGGCAGTGGGTTACTGGTTGTTTCGTTCCCAGAATCCCCTGTTGCTAATCCTTTCTGGTCGTATGACCTTGAGCATCGAGTAGGGAAAGCTGTTGATGTAAGTCTGTAGCCTTCTGAATATGACTTTATACGTAATTATGTTAATGAAAAATGAGCGGAATGTAATTATTGCTTCTTAGCTCATAGTAACTTCATACAACTCTCGACTGACTGATATTCGTTCGGCTGATTATAAGGTGGGCCCTGGAATAACTTTAGCTGCTCAGAGATTGACTTGCTACCAGAGAACACCCTTGTCGAACTGAAGTATACGGATGATATTCTCCTCTTAGGTGAAGACGTTGTCAAAGTTCAGTCTTTAGAAATTCTTGATCAGAAATCTTTGAATTTTCGGTATGATGCTTTAGGGCTGATGTGAATCGACTCGCAGTTTGAAGAGTAAAGGGAGTGAATTGGCCGAGCATATTGATCACTTCGTTTATTTGATAGGTCCTAATGAACTGATTGCTGACGTAATCTCAGCACCGATAGAAAAACCCAGCTGGCACTTGTCATCTTGTGTCATCTGTAACATAAACGTGATATCCAGCTGCCAATCAACGTAGGTGTGCACTACTCAGCAGTTCGTTTTATCTCCTTTGACGGATGTAAGATATGGTCATTGAAAGAGAAGAACATGAAAAGGATAAGCTGTATGTGACCATAAGTGTCTACATTCTGTCTGCCAATATTAAGGTTGGGCTTAGAGTGTTAGATAAGGAGTGGTAGTAAATCGATCAGATTGCAAAGCTACCAATGTCTGCGGACTGTTTTCAATGAAGCGCACGAATTCACTCTTTATCATCTCCAAGACCCATCAAACTCTCATGTTTTTCCGTTGAACCGTTCTTTCCCCCGAACATTTCTGTTCACTATGAATTTCTCTTTTCTTCACGTTTGCGTTCTACATTGAGTTTGGGAAAATAAACTGAAGCACTCACTCCTGAGCTACGTTCCATGTTGCCACTCACTCAGCTCACCAGTGGGAATGCATCCAGTCTTACAGGCATTTATTGTTTGAAGAACTAATCCCCTGGTTGTTACCAAATGTCTTATCGACTCCTTTAAGAACTGATACTGAAGACACTAGGTTGATGCAGATTGTTTTAAGGCACACAGTAATCAAGGGGAGTGATCTACAGTTTCAATAAGCCTTAAAACTGCACAGGTGAGTCAAACTGCAAAGCGACTGACACATTATAACTTCTCCTTCATATACAAATTAGATTTCACTCTTCCTATATATTAACATTTCATATTTTGCAACTTTTATATGATATTTATGAAACTAACAATTTAAGTTTCTGACCAATATTGATGTTTCTCAACGTGATTCACAAATAGCATATTTTGCAGCAGTATAGAGAATTTGTAGAAAATTCCAGTCTTCTTTTTGGCACCTTCATCAAGAATAACACAAAACTAGTTGAGAATATTTATTGATTTTATGGCTGTGACAAATAATTTGCCAAGCGGTTTACAGGATGAACTTGGTGTCTTTGTTCACTCACATGTGCTAAGTTTTGTTGAATGGTAACAAAACAAAACTAAGAAACTTAGCCAAATACGTGTGAGGAAAGATTACAGTGTGACAAAACAAAAACATTTGCCGATTATTTTTGCCTTTACAAACTGATCACATCGTGAGAATCTTTAGTGTATTACTGATTTTTGTAGTTGGGTGCCTGTCTCCAGGAAAAGAAACTTGATTCATTCGCTCTGCTTTATGGTAAGAAACACTTAAAGTTCTGGCTGCTTTGACTTATAACTTCTCTTCCCAGAGGCCCAGCTTACAGAAAACGGTTATCCGAACTGACTTATTGACAGTGACAGAAAAAACAGTCAATCTAAACTAGTCACTGACTCAGTTCCAGAGAAAAACACCTTCGTGAATTGGGAATTCAAAGGTGATATGCTCAAAAGTCGTCTTTCTATATGAGTCAGTAAGACAGTGATTGCTGCAAAACTGCAAATGGCATTCATCAGCCATAGGTTATTTTCCGTCTGCTACTGTTGAGCAAGGTACACTGGTGGTCGCCAGAGAATGGATTCTAC